TTCCAGCCCGATGGCTGATTGGACCCGACATGTTTGATTGTATTTTTGATCTGTTTATATGGTGGTATTTTGGGGGTAACTCACTAAGCTTTATGCTTACCCAATTGTTTATGGTTTCAGGTATCATCAGTTATTGCTGGAAGGAGAAGGCGGGACTGTACACACTCATCAACAACATTTAAGATTCCACGTTTCTACAACACTCTGATTTTTAATAAATGTAATTCGGAAAAATGGTTTTCTTAATTAATGGATTAATAAATTGGGGAGTTTTTATATTAATAAAAATGAAAATTTTTTGTTGTGAAAATGAGACGTTACAAAACCCCTAAAAGTTAGCACCCTTAAATAGGGCCCAAGACCCAAGACCTAGGGTTTTAAGTTTTACAGAGGAACACCGTGCATATCATACAAGGCGCCACACCCTATGTGGCATATCCGTGTTGCGCCAATAAAGGACACATCGTGCCCCATAGCAAAACCCTAATTATCTAACTTATTTAAAAAATAATCACTAAAAAAATATATACCAGAAAACAGGTGTTACAAGGAGAAAAAAATGAGGGAAACAGAAATAGTTTGAGGATGAGTAGGTGATCCGTCCTGAAATGAAGATATAGGTGATTGATCATCTTCAAGGATGAAAGAGCCATATGCAGCGGAAGGGGAGGAAGGATGAAAATCGCAATGAATCATTCATTACTTGTCTCCTGCTTAATCAAACAGCTTTGGATACACAAATGGGGGAGGTTCGTTGGGGAGGTCGACATTGATTTTATACCAATGTGTAGTGATAACAAGAGACAACGGCGGGAAATCAAGGGTTCAATTTCAGAATCCGATGAAGGGTTCCCGAAGGCCTTTTAGGTCACTGATGACTGTTAACAGGAGAAGACAGAAGTCGAGAAATTGTGGTAGAGGTGAAAGATGGTTGAGCGAAGGAAAATATGAAGTTGGAGAAATAGCAGGAGGTCGTAAAATGGACAACTGTAAGTATTTGTGTAACGATCGAATTGGAAGCGGGAGGCAGTAAAGGAAGGGCAAAGACCAAAATTGCCAACCTCCACAAACTACTATGGTAAAATTATGAAGTACATAAATATATTGTTCCTAAACACCATGGTTATTAATGTGTATATAATATCTTTCAATTACGTAGCCATATACTCCGAAATTATTTAAACATTCTTTCATATGCCCCTCCTCTATGAAAAAACCCTAAATATATAAGTGTTTGAAGGTTATAATAACAAAAATTACACCGTTTTGAAAAAACAAGAAAAAGATTTCACTAGGGTGTTACGTAACCTAAATCCGATTGACGGGTAAAATACAAATTTCCTAAAATTATATATACTCCTAAAACTAAAGTCGGTGGATTTACTGCACCGACATTTCTAACCCTCGTACTTTATCGAATGATGTTTTTACCCTATATTTTGTAAAATGTTATTTTGACTTCTTCAACTTTAAACTTTAAATGATCACTTTCTTCCTTTTATTTTTACTGTGTAAAATGATGCTTTCGACCCCAACATTTTGTAAAATTCTATTTTAATCCTCTCAACTTTGAAAGTTTTAAAATATCATTTTCATCTGCTTTATTTTTTAAACTTTTGTGTTTAGATCAGATTTTTCTATCTACCATCACTTTCTACCCTCTACTTTATAAAATTGACATTTTCCACCCACTTTACTTTTTTAAATGTTGCTTTTACCCCCCTCAACTTTGAACTTTCTAAAATGTCACTTTCACCCTTACTTTTATAAGCTTTCACGTTTACCCCTCGTAGTACATATAATCTGATTTTACTACAATTACTAGGGTTGTAAACGAACTGAACGTTCAGCGAACTGTTCATGAACCGTTCAGCGGGAAGTTCGTTTATTTAATAAATGAACGAACACGAACATAAATTCTCGTTAATTTAGTTAAACGAACGAACATGAACAATGGTATCATTCGTTCAATTATGTTCATGAACGTTCATTTATGTTGTTCGTTTACGTTCGTTCATATAAGTTCATTTTATGTTCATATATGCTTAATCGTGTTTGATTACATTACTATATTATATGTTCATATATGTTCAATTATGTTTTTTTTATTATCTTTGTTCGTTTATGTTCATTCGTTTATGTTCGTTTAACTTGTTCACGAACATAAACGAACGAACATTAACAAGAAAACTCGTTCGTTTATCCGTTCGTGTTCGTTCATTTGTTCGACTAATTTAAACGAACGAACATGAACAAGCCTTCATTCATGATCGTTCGGTTCGTTTACAGTCCTAACAATTACCATCACTCAACTTTATAAAATGTCATTTTGACGCCCTCAACTTTAAAGTTTCTAAACATTATTAACTTAAAAAAACTAATTTATTACGTACTTATTTTTATGTATGCAGAGGTATAAATTCTAGATGGTCTACGCTTCGACGTACATTTAGAACTTTCGTTCGTTAATTTAAAAAAAAAACATGTTGGTGTAAATTCAAGTTTCTTTACGTTTCAACGTAAATTTTGAGTATGTTTCCATATTTATTTTTATGTACGTTTTCTACGTATGAGTTGGGTCACATGTAATATGTTTTCATTCGACAATATAAACCGGAGTTATGATATATATTCTACATTTTCCACCCCTTCTACTTTTTAAAATATTGTTTTTACCCCCTAGAATTTGCTATTTAGTAACTTTGGTCCCTTACTTTTGTTAAGTCCTCCATTTTCCACATTTACGTTTTAAAATGTCACTTTTACCCTTCAAATTTGAACTTTCTAAAATGTTACTTTCACCTCCTCAACTTTGAACTTTCTAAAATATCATTTTCACCCCTTCATTTTCTAAACTTTCATATTTACCCCACATAGTATACATAATCAGATTCTCCTACATTTATCACCCCCAAAATTTTAAAATATAAATTTAACCCCCTCGGCTTTAACTTTGTAAAATTCATTAAGTAAAAGAACTATTTATTACTTATTCATTTTTATGTATGTGTCGATATAAATACGAGATGGTCAACGTTTCAACATAATTTAGAACTTTCATTAGTTAATTTCAAAATAAAACCTACTTGTTTTTTTATGTATGTGTTAGTATAAATTCAAATTTGTCTAGGTTTTGGCGTAATTTGCTTTTCGTTTTCATGCTTATTTTTAAGCATTTTTCTTGGCATGGCTTTGGTCCTTGACTTTTGTGTGTAACACCCAATCCAGGTATGAGTTTAGGCTTTTTATGTTAAGTTTAAATAGTTAGGTTTTGGTGTTTTAGCCCGGTCCACAACGTAGTGATTTGCTTACCATGGCGTGATGTTCATTATGACCATGACATGGCACCGTTATGGGCTCAAAACCCTAGACCTTACATCACAAGCCCTATTTAAAGAATGGCGGGGATAAGGTTTCTCCCAACCCTAACCTCCATCTCTCCAAAAAGAATCCCCCACAACCCTAGCCTCCATTTCATGTTCTAAGCCTCTTTGTGTGTGTTGTTGGTATTCTTGAAGGAAGATCATCACCCTTTGGAGATTGAGAGTGTTTCTTGAAGAGATCCAGCATCTTGTGCATCTTTTAGACTTTTATAAGTGTTCAAGTTCCTTACTTGGTGGCTTAAACTTCATAGATTTAGCATTTTATGGCATTTTGGGTCCCTTTTATGGTTTTGGTTAGAGTTTATGAAATAACTCCAGATAAAGTTTGCAACTTTATTGATCTTGAGTGTCCCTGGAGTGTTTTGTCTTTTAGATCTAGAACTAAAGTGTGATTTGGGACCATGCAAAGAATAAAGGTCACACATTTACTATTTTGACCTAAAATGGTGTAGAATATGCATTGGGTGTCTATGTCCATACAATTATAACTTTTATGACTTATTTTCGTGTGTTTAAGCCTTCCAGGGAGTTTGAGGCTTGGTCTTAATAAATTAAGAACTTAATAAAGAAATGAGTTTTCTAGGCGGATCGCGGCATGGCCAGGGGCTGATCATGACACTGTGGGCGAAAGACTCGCGACTGATTTGTCCCCCCGTTACCACATAGTAGCCATGGGTTGGCCACAACGTGGTGGTTCGATGGTTGACTTTGACTGTTGACTTTTTCTAAGGTTGACTTTAGGCCAAACTTTAGGGTTTAGGTTATAGGATGAGATTTGACCTTGGATTATATGTTTAGGCGATTGTTGTGCATGTCTTTGCATGTTGTGAGTTGTAGAGGTTTTTTATTTTATCTGTGAGGTGAGTTTTCTAACTGTGTTATTTATATAATATGTTGTATGTGAGCTGCTGATAGCTCATGGTTGCTAATAACCCAATTTTCCGTATGTGAGCTGTTGATAGCTCATGGTTGCTGATAACCCAAATTGCTATAGTTGAGCTATTGATAGCTCGGGGTTGTTGATAATCAATAGGGTTGTTGATAACCCATAGTTGTTATAAATGTTTTGTTGTGCTGTGTTGTATGTAATACTTTGAAGAACTCAATAAGCTTTGACTTACAATTATAGATTTAAATGTTTCATGTACTTCTGAAGACTGAAGAAAAACGAAGGCGTGACTGTACACACTATCCAGTAGTCTTCATGATTTTGAGAGATGTTATGTTATGATACTCTGATTTTGATTCCATGTTGCAAAACAATTATTTTTATGGTGTTTGACTTTTATTTCTTTATTAAAAATTGAAAATCTTACCATATTTTTTGGACGTTTTGCCAATTTAAGTCCTCCTAGATTTCCATGCATGACTTTTATGGTTTGACAACTTACATTCACATTCTTCTAAGTTTCTACTGCTTTACTAATAATAAGCAAAACCTCACTTTTAAAATAGTGTGATTTCATGAAAATTTTGACATTCTATAAAAGGACCAATGCCCATTTTGTAATAAATATTAAGAAAATATCAATTATTTATAGGCCTCATATAAACAATCAAACATGAAGTAGTTGACCAAAATGATTTCTATTTATATATTCGTATATGTATGCATTTCGGGACTTTCATCCATACAGCTACACCGTTTTTTATTTTATTTAGAGTTTTAGGCAAAATAAGCCCGATTCGTCTACTGTTAAAGAAAACCATAAAACCAACTTTTCAATCCGTGTAACACACTAACATGTGGTTTTTTTCACTTCAGCGTCTGGAGGACGGCCAAGTAGATCTCGGCGCACCTCCACCGCCAAACGTCGTCGACCGCCACCTGTCAGTACTAGGCCGGTCATCCTGGCGGCCCCACCTATCATGGTCTGGAGACGGCGGCGACTGTGGCCCCCCGGTGATCCTCTCTCGAAGGTGTCGGGGCACGTATTTTCCCGGCGAAGGTGAAGCAGCGGTGGCTGTAACGAGCCCTGGTTTTGATGAGCGAGGAGACGACGGAGACTCCGTAGGCCTTATCGGCGATAGCGATGCAGGTGTTCCTCTTAACACTTCTTCTCTTCGTTGCCGTTCTTTCTCTTCAAGCTCCCTTTCCCTTTGCCTCTGTTTCTCTGCTATTTCGTCTAGTTTTGCCCTACGCTCAGCTTCTTCCTTCTTTCGCCTCTCCGCCTCTAAATACAGAAAAAAATGTCATTATTGTTTTATACATTACGCAGACATATTCCGGCGACGGAATTGGAATTAGAGATTCCATTCTGTGGTTGATACCTTCACGTTGACGGGCTTCTTCTTCTGCGCGTAACTTTTTCTGTCGTTCTTCTTCGATTTTGAGATAGCAAATCATTTTCCTTCTGGTTTCGCGTTCTTGTTGTCTTGATTGAATTATTTGGTTGATTCGATCCTCTTGTTCCTTCTTCATTTTCTTGTACTCGGCTTCTCTCTTGCTAAAAACTCTTTGCTGGAAAGTTTCCTACAAAAATTTGAATAAACGTCTCATCAAGATCAGAAACAAGCTAGAAATCCAAGATGTTAATGATTTATAACCTTGTCTTTCATCATCCTGCTTAGTCTCTTTTTCTTCTCAAGATCTCCAGCATGACGCTGTCGGCTTTGCTCAATCTCTAGCTGCAGGGTTAAACCAAATTAAATGCTGAATTAGTTAAATCCTATTTTTTACAAACCAAATACCAAATATTACATGAAATTTGTTGTTTGTGAATTAACACCAAATTTGGAGTTAACTTTGTTGTTAATTACATGTAATATGTTATAATAGTCTATATTTAATATTCAATATTTATTAATTGTGATATTATATTATAAGTTATTTTGATGTCAAGAATGGTGTAATATAAAGATTGAAAAGAACTTGGTGTTTGCACCAGTTTTGTCAAATTGGTGCAAAAAATAGTGTTATGGTTGGAGGTGATCTTTAAAGTCACTTTGATTATTTTCAATAACCATTAAACCATGATTTTGAAAAATATTTATATACAGTAAAACACAATAAAATTTTCATCATTTTATCAATTTAGTCATTAAAATATTCTATGTAAACCATTTCAGTTTTTTATGGTTTTAAAAACCATTTTTCCTAGTTACATGATTTTGTAAAATGTTAAATTACACTCTAATGGATAAACCATTATACTTTCATCATTTTATTGATTTTAGCCACCAATTCAAGGCTGTGTGCATTCTTTTTTTTTTTTTTTGGATAACCTGGGAAAATAATATTTTTTAAACAATAAAAAAAGTGTTATAGTTTAATCATTGTATAAAATAGTTATGTAGCTAAACCGATAAAATGATGAAAGTATAATAAGTGTGACTGTATTTTGCCTTGGAATATATGACGAGTTAAAATAAGAAAAAGGAAATTTTCTTGTTTGAATATATTACCTGCTGAAAATGTTCATGTTGAGCCTTTTCTTCAACTAATCGTTGTTGGAATGCTGCTTCAACTAAAGGAGATGCCTCTTCTCTTTTTGCTCTTTCAAGGTGATCCATTGTTTTAGCAAGTTTTTGCAACTTCTTCTCCATTTCTTGTCTCTCCTTTAGTTGTTCATTTAAAGCCATTTCCATTAATGTTTGCTTCGTTATCTTTTCCTGCATGGATTGTACATGTAAAAGGTTAATTAATTTGGTCAATTAATTTGTGGCTGAAATGAGGTTTGAGGTTTGATTTACTCACCCCTTCCATGATGGGCTTCTTGCCCTTCTTTTTACCACGTTTTCCAGCTTCCTTCAACAACTGTTGTGCTTCTTCAAGTTCTCGCTCCTCAATTTCTTTAAGGATCCTTTGGTTTCTCCTTTGTGCATACTTAGCAGCAAGTCGTTTTCTTTCTGCCTCTTCCGTAATCTTTTGTTGTTTAAGTCTCCTTGATTCCTCCTCTCGCTCCTACATGCCAAAATTAGTTTTAATCAGTTTAACAAATTCAAGTTACGTATTATAATGGTTTGTTTGGTTGGATGGAATGAAGAAAATGAAGGAATTGAATGACAAAGGTTTGGTTGAGTTGTGGAGATGAATTGGATTTTTCATATGAATTTATTATTGTAATGTATGTAAATACAATGTATAGTTTTTATGAGTGTTCTATATATTGTTTAATTATAATTATAAAAATTATTATCTAAAACACTAAAAAAGATTAAACTAACAAGTGATCATTAAAATCTAAATAAGATTATAATAAAAAATGAAATTTTCTAGATATTTTTCAAAAATAAAATTATAATTTAATTAAAATCATGAAATTCCTAATGATAATATGTCATTAAAATTTGTGGTAATCACTAAAAACCAAATGAGTGATCTTTGAACATTTATTACAAAACAAGGGCAAAACCAATTTTTTCAAAACTACTATTTTTGCAAATTTTATTTATTAGTGGTCCCAACTAAAATTTCACAAGCAAAGAGAATACATTTCCTAAAATTTTCTAAGGCTTTTTTTATTCATAAAACAAAAAAGATTTCGTAAAAAGTAGGTTGTTATTTTGTGATAAATTTTCAAAAGGGGCTCATTTGATCATATAACACCACCCATTTTAGTCATTATTCTTTAAAAAAATTATAAAGAAAATGGGCCATCTTACAATTTTTCCGTTGAATTCGTGATGGGATGAAAAAAAAGATGTCCCAACAAAATGGATGGATTCAGACTCCTTTAAAAATGATCCATTCCATCCGGCAAAACAATTCAAAAACGAACTGCTTGATTTTATTCCAATGGAAGCAACAGTTTCATTCATTCTCTAGCTAATTCTTTAATGAAAATTACCTTAGCTAATGTATAATTTGTTTAAACTAGTTAGTATAAGTGAAATTAATTAGTAAAAATACCATCTCTAGAAGTTGTCTTTCTTGTTCTTCTTTACGTTTCTCAATTATAGACTTGCGAGCAAGAAGTCTTTTATGTTCCTTATCCACAGTCTCTGTTAAACTGGTTAATGTCTCCCCATGTTTCAAAGCTTTCATCGTGGGAGGAATAACCATTGATCTCGCCTTTGTAAGGGATTCCGCAAAAACACTCAGATGAGCACGTATCCCTTCAGATTCAAGACCCTAAACAAGATCATCATGATTTAAAAATCACAATTCACAAATATAATATAATAATATACAAAACAAAAATATATATTAAAGACGATGGAGATTTTCATTAATTAGCACCTGACTACCAAAAAGAACAGCACCTTTCCTATGATCAACTTTCATTGATATAAAATTGTGTTTTACAGCATCCACTGAAATTTTCTCCACAACAGAGAAGTCGAAAAAGGGTATCATCCCTGTTAGAGTTTCTATCTTCATTACCTGATACACCCTGGACACCTAGAAAACCAGAAATCATATATATATAAAAAAAAACTCTTCATTTTGTCAAAGTAATTAATACAAGTGAAGGAGACTGGAGATGAAGATGAATTAGCCCCATGAGACCATATCAGCTTTTGTAACCAACTGCTGCAATGACAACAGTCTTTTAATAGGTCCCACTGACACATCAACAACTTCTTTAATTGCAGGTCAAAAACAGTACAAATTGTTTTGTTTTCTCATGTCATGCATAAAAAACGGGGGGCTAAAAGAGACTAAAGATTATAAGCTGAATGTGATGATCACACACCTGTTGTAGCAATCTAAGGGTGGCAAGTTTTTCCAGTGAAGGGATATATTCAGATAACTGAATTTCTGGGACTGAAGAAGCTGAAGAAAGTTTACCCCCAAGTTTTGATATTTTCATGAGCAAGGGTTGTACTTTTAATGCAAGATCCAAAGGGGAGAACTCATGCTCCAAAATATGGTACAAATCTCTTACTTCCTGTGTTACACATGACATTACACTCTTCAATACCTGAAAACATCATACATATTCCCATTCCTTACTTTATAGATCTAAAAATATGTATATATTTCTCTTTTATGGTATATTTTCATTTGATCTTACCAATTTTGAGAGGAGTGACGAACGTGAAAGCTGAGGAAAGTAACAATAAAAGATTATGTAAATAAGCAATTGAAAAAATATGGTAAAATTAAGTTAACCACAAAAATGACCAAAATGGGAGGACTGGATAACAAAATGACCATAATTTTAACACTTATCACAAAATGACCACTTAATTGGAGAAAAAACATCGCAAAATATTTTTTTTTTTCACGAAATGGATTCTCTCATATTCTATGAAATTTAATTTTTTTCTTTCTCAGTACTTTTTTTCGCGAAATTGATTCTTCAGTGTTAGAGAGTAATTTTGGAAATTAGCGGACATTATTTCGCAAAATAGATGGTCATTTTGTGATAAATGTTGAAGATGCAGTCATCTTGTGATATGAACTTCCCATTTTTGGTCCTTTTTATGATTGAATAGAAAAAAAAACATGGGGACAATTAACCCGATCAATAAAGTTACCACTTCTCTTGTCTCTGATCTTGGATCAACAATGAATCCGATAAGATTAGCAACCCTAAGATTCCTCTCTTTTTGGTTTTCGAGTTCCATATGAGATGCGCCATGTGAGCGATCATAAGGAGGAACTGAGAGTGCAGCAAGAACAACAGATGAAGCTATTAACTGCAAGTCTTTCTGGGTTAAGTTCTTGTTGAAACTCTTTTGAAGTGTAAATAGCTTAAGCCATGAAAAGGCGTGGTAGATATGGCTTGAGGAGATCCAAAAGATTCTGGTTAATTTGGCGTAATAGATAACTAAAAATGATGCCTTTGGAGTTTTCTTGACTATACACATAAGTCCATATATGTCTTCAACAGAACGGAAAGCTTCCTGACATGTCAAGGTAAGTAAAACAAAGTTGTGTAATTTAGATGTCTTTAATCAGACATTTGAGATAAATCATTAGTTAGAAAAACTGAAAGGCTAACTACAGAAAAGCATTTGTATTCAGGCTAAATGAAAGAAATAGCAATGTACTTTCCATTTTTTTTCCCTATTACAGCATTATACTTTCAAATTACCTTTTAATGTGAAAAATAATACCCATTAGACTAATGTGGGTATCGGTGATTTACATTATAATGATATGCTATATGTTAACAGGTTTTTATGCCATGTAATCGTCCATAATCCATATAGGGTGTCCACGTGTAATATACTGCTGACATGGCATGCGAGTAGCATACTATATGTGGACATCCGAGAAAAATGGTTTAATCTAAAAGTCAACAAAAGTATAATGGTTTAATCACTATAGAAAACAATCAAATGGCTAAATTGATAAAATGGTGGAAGTATATTGTTTTGTTATTTTTTTCTGTGTTTCCCCTTAAATTTATGCCCACGTGCATCAAATGCAAAAGAGATAAAGAACAAACCTGCCAAAGCTGAAGTTCAGTAGCAACCTTCAATTGTTCAAATCTTGTGTCAAGATACAATTGTAAACTTTCTGGAGCAGAGAGATCAGGTCGATCCCTTTGGTCGCGATATTTATTATGATTTGCAAGATGATTTCTAATGATTTCACAAAGTCTTCTAAACTCTGTTGTGCGTTTATATTGCTTACAGAATTGGAAGGCCCGATGTGCAGTCATCTGTATGAATGAATAATGCTGCAGCTTAGTAATAGTTTGCTAAATTCTACAAACTTTAAATATTCATATGAGAATATAAAACTTATAAACTTAAAAGTCAACTTCCCACTTACTGTAATTCTACTTGTTAAGGTAGCAAGATTATCATCTTATAACTTCAAACACTTCCCACATGAAACGTATACTGAGGTTTAAGTCTTAATTGTGTTCCAGTCATTTTCAATTGTAAAAGTCAAACTTATGTTTTGATTCGGTCCTAAGGGCAATTTCGTCATTTCACCAACTCTACTATATATAGGTATATGTATTTTGTTTGCTTGTGTTCTATGTATTTGTATTGTTTATTGATTTAGAATCTAACATGGATGTTACACTACAGTCATAGATCATGTAACAGTACCAGCAGTAAGCAATGTGATAATCAGATGAGTCTATGCTACTAAACAAGTAATATATCTAACTAAGCATATATGATTGAGTAAATTACATATTTGATCCCTAAGTATTTTTGTAATTTTGGTCCCAAAAAAATTTCTTGCAATTTTGGTCCTTGCTTTAGACTTTAGAGTATCCTAAGGAATTTGGTTCATGTTCCAAGTAAAATGGCCATATTGCAAAAGAAAACTTTTCAAAAAAACTTATATTAAATAATAAATAAGTACTTAAAAAACAATCAAAAAGTTTACTTGAAACAAGGACCTCAAAACGTTACAAAAATGTCAAGTAACGACCAAAAAGTCATGATAAAACATTTTAGGAACAAAATTGTAAAAATCAGCTATCGTTAGGGACCAAAAATGTAATTTACTCCAAATGAGATAAGGAGTCCCAAGAAATAAGAAATCCTAACCGCATAAAGAGCCTCCAATTTAGAGTTATTCCGTAAGATTTCCAACACAGTCCTGTAAGTCTCCCACAACAATTTAAACCATGGAGTAACAAGCTCACGATCAGATCTATCTTTCCCTTTCTCCCCACTAACATAACTCAGCATCAAATCTTCAGGCCTTTTATCCGCTTCTAAATCATCAAAATCAAGAGCTTCTTCTAATGCTTGTGCTTGACTACGTGCATGTTCAGCCTTTTCAGTGGCCAAATGCATGAAATGTTTGATCACTTCCTCCAATGAACTTATGTTGACTTGTTGACAAATTATACGATACTGTATCAAACCATCTTTTGCAAATCTTCCTCTTCTCATGTCAACACATAGCTCTACATACTTGAACATGATTCTTTCAAGTGTCTTTTGCCATGCTCTGTATCTTTTTGAGGTTATAATCCCGTGAAGTGCTTGTAATGCATCTTGCTTTTGTCCAACATTAATCAACTCTGCATCCACATATCAAAACAATGTGTCAATAAGAACAATTATGTCCAACATGGATTAGATATATAGGGCTAAATGCAAGAAATAGTAACTTACTCGTATTTTTTTGTTCATTGTAGCATTCTGATTTCATTTCTTTCTATTACGACATTGAATTTTGAAAAATCTACCCAATTATAGCAATGTCACTCGGATATAAATCAAATCACACTGTTATTATAATTTAGTATTTTTTAATATACAATGTTGTATGAAGAAATTGTTTGGAAGTATGATGCTATAATGGTAGATTTTTCAAAGTAGGATGCCTTCAAAAGTATTAAAAGTACGATGTTGTAACAGAAAAAATGAAAGTATTATGATATAATAAACAAATAAATAGAAGTGTGTTGCTATTTTTGTAATTTAGCCCTATATACATGACGAAAGAACCCCCTCTAGTGGTAAATCAAGTTTCAATTTGTATTACATAGTGTTAAATGCAAGAAATAACAACATATTTTTATTTATTTGTTTTTATAGCATTCTACTTTCATTTCCTTCTACTATAGAATTGTACTTTGAAAAATCTTCCTAGTCATAACAATGTCATTCGGTTTAAGCAATTTTCACTGCTATAATTGAGTAAAATTTTCAAGGAATAATGTTATAATTGGAAAAAAGTTGAAAGTATAATGCTATAACTGGGGAGATTTTCAAAGTACAGCCTTAATAAGATAAATATTGAAAGTCTGATGCCTTATAAGAAGGAAATGAGAGTAGGATGTTATATTAAACAAATAAATGAAATAATGTTGCTACTTTTTCATGTTAAGCAGAGAGTATCTCAAAGAAAAAGATGATGTACATAGTTAATGAAAGAAAAGGATGCTCACCTTCAGCTCGCTTCAAAGCATTTTCGGGCTTGGCAAAAGTTGCCATATTGAGAAATCCAATCAATTAGAGCTAAAAGACAGAAAATGTAACAAGTTAATGGAGATCCATATGAAAGGGGCAAGTTTATCTGTTTATGTATTCTTCTGTGAGTTATACTCATTGACAAAGCTAAAAGGATGCACGATGGTAGCATGTATTGTGAATTATCTGCAGTTTTTAACAAATCAGTAATTATAATACTAGTTCAATGTAGATTTGGGAATCAAGCAACTGAATACACATAAAGGTACTTGCTTAGGCCAAAAAGGTTGTTTCATAAATCTATAAGATATTAGGATATGCCCAAATGAAAAATAAGAAAGTTTTATCCAGATATTCAGGATTTGGCATAAGAGAATCCATAATTTTGGCATATATGGTAAAACCATCAGCAATCAAAATAACAATTAAGACAAAATCGAACAGCTTATTCGTCCATCTAAGATGAATGATTGATTGACGCATGGTTTAATGGAGGTGTGGATACCTAGAATACTTCATATGAAGATGAAGATAACCTAATTCTCGTGAACCAAGAGCATTAACATTACTAAGAAATTTCACTATTAATATGAGAAGGAAGTTATTGAATTAATTGCTAAATGAGGACTAATCATCAAGCAAAACAGAGCAAGAATGCATCCAAATTCATCAATCATCAATTGTTTATCTACCAGACTTTAAGCCAATGTTATGTCTTCAATAAATCAGTACCATAAAAATTTGTATACAACAGTTCACCTGGTAAATGGCGTATGCCATACTGTAGAAAAACAAAACGATCGTAGATTTTCAGTTGCACTTACGCTATTGTTCTTAGATTAATGTGATTCACATGATTTACGAATTTAAAAGCTAGGTACGCCTTCATAAGTCATGAAACAAAAATGCATCCAACCTGCGAGTCACTGATCATACGCAAACCAAAATGATATCCTTTTCAAACAAAAAAAAAAGAATAAATCGAACCAGATTCTAATCGTAAATCTGATTACATAACAATTATAACGAATATCAGAACATAATCACGTAGATTCGTAAAACGTGAACGCAAAACTAATTTAGATTGCACAGAAATGATAAATCACGCTCACAGATTATACAAGGAAATGTGAAATACGTTAATGGACAGAGAGGAAGACCTTGATTTGATCTTCAATGGCGTTTTTGGCTGTAAACCCTCGATTGATGAAAAATGGATCAAATGTTTCGCAGTAGTATTAGCATTTGGTTTGCTAATTCTACACGAGTAATCTTAACTTGATTGGGCGTTAACTGCTTTAAGAAACCCGGGTACACCCCGGCAATTCCATTTTTAAATAATATTCTTATTTTATGTCCATTCTTATTTTGTGATAATACATTATTTTTATTCACAATGATAATATATTTTAATTTTTGTCCGTGTGATGTAGACACTTGAGGCAACAAAATCAATGGAACAAAACAAAAGGTGTAATTAGTTTCAAAATTAGTGATATTTAGGAAATTGGGTTCAATGGAGAATGAAAAATTAGTTTATTAAGTCTTTATGGTGTGAACATCCCTAGAATATCATATTTCAGCCGATGTATGGAAAAATATTTTATAATGATTTAAAGAAAAAATAAACATATTTTAGAGTCATATAAAATAACGATTTTTTTACTTATGTATATAATATATCTCTAAGACAATTGTATATCAATATATAAAAAAAACAAGACGGGCTTGATGATACATTATGATTTATACGAAGTATTAAGTAATGCAAAAAAGATTCTTTAATTATAACGATATAGAAGAAGAAAACGTACTTTATTACTATAGAAAACTAAAAAGAGTTCAACTGGAACAATTGATTCCAGGTCGTGTCTTCATTCAATTGATAAAGAGTATATATATACACCAAATATCCAAACGGATAAATATGAAAAATAGAGTATAATCCTATCAGGAAACTAGGAATAAATATAAGATAAACACAATAGAAGATAAGATAATCTCAATCATTTTCTTCACTCTCCCTCAAGATGGAACGTGAAGATCACGAACGCCCATCTTGCCCAACAGAGAACGAAATCTGTCAGTCCCAAGTGGTTTGGTAAAAAGGTCTGCTAGTTGATCTTTGGTGTGAATAGCAGCTGGAAATATTTCCCCAGACTCAACTCGCTCACGAACGAAATAACAATCCATCTCAACATGTTTAGTACGCTCGTGAAATACCGGGTTGTTAGCTATATGCCGTGTAGCTTGATTATCACAATAAAGTCGAGTAGCAGTCGTCTGAGAAGCTTCAAGGTCCGTTAGCAACCAACGAAGCCATAAAACTTCACTCACTGTAGTGGCCATGGATCTATACTCAGCTTCAGCAGAAGAGCGAGACACGACGGACTGCTTCTTTGTCTTCCAAGAGATAGGAGCACCCCCAAGAGTAATAAAATAACCAGTCTTTGAACGCCTCGTGAAAAGGACAACCAAGCCAATCAGAATCACAATATGCAACCAATGTTAAATCACTATCAGCCGGAAGGAAAATGCCTTGACCAGGCGTAGCTTTAAGGTATCGCAACACACGGAGAGCCGCGACCCAATGAGTTTCCCGAGGAGCCGAAACAAACTGGCTGAGCGTATTTACTGCAAACGCAATATCAGGTCGGGTGACTTGTAGGTACAGAAGACGACCAACAAGCCGCCTGTACTTCCCAGCATCAACTAAGGGTGAATCGTCTTCAGTAGTAAGACGAATATTCTGCTCCATAGGAAAAGAACTTGGTCTACATCCTTCCAAACCACTGTCAGCAAGTATATCAAGAGTATACTTCCTTTGGCTAAGAACCATTCCATCCGATGTCCGAGCCACCTCAATTCCAAGAAAATATTTCAGCGTTCCCAAGTCTTTGATGCTGAACTTGCTGTCGAGAAAGGTTTTAATTTTAGCAATGTGACGATCATTATTTCCCAAAAGAATAACATCGTCCACATAGATGAGGGCTGAAATAAAAATATCCTTTTGCTTAAATATAAAAAGAGAGTGATCAGCCTTAGAATGTTTGAAACCAATTTGTAAAAGTGCTTCAGTGAACTTGTTGTACCAATTTCGTGAGGCTTGCCTGAAACCATACAAAGACTTTCGTAGACGACAAACTCGAGTATCCCCTTCCTTTGCAAAACCTTGTGGGAGCTTCATATATACTTCTTCATCTAAATCTCCGTGTAAAAAAGCGTTATTTACATCGAGTTAGTGAATTACCCATCGTTTTTGAACAACAATTGCTAATATGGTTCTGACCGTCACTAGCTTGGCGACCGGTGCAAACGTCTCATGGAAGTCAACGCCTTCAATTTGGGTGAAACCCTTTGCAACTAATCTTGCTTTGTAGCGCTCTATTTCACCAGTCGGTTTATATTTGATTTTGTAAACCCACTTTGAGTCAATAGCTTTCTTTCCAGGTGGCAAATTTGTCAACGTCCATGTGTTGTTATTTTCAAGAGCTTGAATCTCCCTTTGCATAGCATCCCTCCAATACTGACTTTTAACTGCTTTAGAAAAGTGTTTGGGCTCATCTTGAGAAGAGATGGAACTCAAGTAAGCCTTGTGGGAGTTAGTAAAATTCTTATAAGACACAAAATGTGATAAAGGATGTACCGTTGAAGAAGTCGTGTTGACATGGGAGTGAGAATGGTCAATGGAAGGTGGGGTATCCCACACCTAATACAATTTATATATACGATGAATGTTACCTTTTATTCCATTAGACAAAATAATTTTTTTTTATTCTTTACAAGAGAATATTTCTACCAGTAGCGTAACCAAGACCAAAGTAAATGGGGTATCCCAAATTTTTTTAAGGTAGCCCAAAATGTTTTCCTAAATATCGTCGCAACTTAAAACGAAATTTTTCGAAAAAAGTTATACTATTGAAAATTTTTTAAGAAGCATTCCGGTACCCCAGACTCTACATTGGATCCGACCATGCATTCTACTACTTTCAAAAATAAATATGTTCTTTTACTTTTTTTGTGATTAATCAAACTATCAGAGAATGAAACCGTTCAATCCGAAATAAACTATCGGTGTCCTGTCATATTTAAAACCTATTGCCCCCTGAATTTCTTTTTACGTGTCTTGGAGGTTTCACTTAACGTCTCTTGGAGGAGGCCATGATTCGATTATATTAAAGAACTACAATAACTTTATATTTTAATTGCGAAACAAAATATACTATCTTTTTTTTTTTTTATCAAGAATCAATACTCACATTGTCATATTAGATATAAACTTTTTCAAAGATAGATATTCAAGATTCTACAAAATAAGATAAATTCTCGATACCACATACAAGAATCGCAACTTTCAACTTCTTCATCTTTGTTAAAATCCAACCTTCTTAGACGATGAACACCATGATCTCTTTTTTGGCATTCCATGTTAATTTCTTGAACTGAAATTGTATTATTGACCCACATTGTATTTAAGACATGTCTTACTTTATTTCTACAATCATCAACGTTCCAACATCTTGATTGCGAATTCCTCATGGAATTCAACAGCTTCAACCCTTGGTTGCTCCATCTATCTCCTTGAGAAAGGAGAATCATCCCATAAACATACGTGGCCTCAGTATGCTCCTTCTTGGATGCCATTTTTAGATACTCCAATCCAGATTCAACTTCAGCCTTCTCAAAATAATCTATCTGTGATTTTAAAGAAATATATGTCAATTAAACTAATCAGATTTTCACACGATGATCAATAATTGATAAAGTTTAAAAACTAGTCATACAATTCCTCGTCTGAATAATGACTCCGGGTTTCCTTTGTCGAAGCAATTCATTAGGAATGAACAAACATTATCACTTTGAGGATACCATGGAATCGTCGGAAACTTGTCGATTGAAATGCGTTGAATGACATAATGTTCTTCTGTTGCTTCCAGAAAGTCCTTGCAACTATATAAACAAATAAAAAAAAGTTGATTTAAATCAGAATAATCTAGAAGAAAAATCGAAGTAGTAATTCTTTCACGTAAATAATATTTGGGACTATAAAAACCATCATGCGTAAAAAAAAGCGATATCAAATCAACAAAACAAGTTGTTTTCTTATTTAAAAACATAACACAGATGAATAATTCAATTTATATTTATATATAAACATAAAAGAAACTGATGAAGAAACAAGTAAACCCAAATTAATTTGGATGAAGATGTGTAAAGGTGATTCTTTCATCGTAAACAAGATTTAGGACTACATGTAAAACCATACATGCATGATAAAAACGATATCAATTTAACAAAACGGGTCGTTTTCAATTGTTTGTAAACAGAATACAGATGAATTATCGATTCAATTAATTTATATATATAACTATGTATATATGTGTGTACAAGATTCTAAAACTAACCATTGTTTAGCATTGAAAACATCAATGAACGAAGATGATCCGACATGGGCAAGAATGTCAACCAACAAATCTTTTGGAAGAGAAGCAATGGTTGTCTTCGGGTGTTTCTTGGTTCTTTTTCTTCCATGGCTGCTTGTCGTATTCTTCTGGTGGGTTCGTTGTCTTAGAACACCCATTCTTATCTGATATTAACTTCAAGAAATCTTGAAAAGGAATTGGAATGAAAGAAGATTAATGATACGAAGTGTTAAATATATAACTAGCCTTGTTTGCACTTAGCAAGGAAGAGTTACTTGTTGGAAAAGAATGATGGGGATTTGAAACTAATTAAGGAAACGATGGCTTTTTAAAGATTTATGATGGGGTTATATTAAAAGAGGAAATCAGGGTTATTAAATCTCTAGTGAGTATCTTGTTACAAGAAGCGACGGTTAATATTTAATTTGTTATCTACATGGTATAATTAATTTTTTTTAATTAATATTTTGTTGTGAATAGATTGGAATAAGGAAACTTTGCCGAAAATAGGAAGGTAATTATTACGGACGCTGTGTTCTCAAGATTTATTTGTGGTTTGTGATTAAGAAAGGAAATTAGATTTTCAAGATCTTTGACTCTGGATAATCTCCAATAATAAACAAGCTTAATTTAGCATTTTAAATTTTAGGGTTCTTGATTTTTTTAAGAAAAAATTACTTTCAAGAGAAGACTAAGCCAATTTGGTGAAAATTTTATTCTTTTGCTATTTTTTTTTAAATAAGTTGTCCGATTTCATCAAATTCGTTAATATGTTTTTTGATTTTTGAAAACGATTATAATTTATAGATGAAGATGGATGCCTAAAGAATGAAAATAGCCCCTTTTAAGGATCAAGTCAATATTTTTAGATTTTAATTTCAATCATAGCCCCATTGTGCGACTTACCGCACTTGGCACACCGACCACGGTCCTGCTGGCCCCTACTGGAAGAATCAGAGGTCTTAGGCTTTTTAGCCTGACCTACAGCTGTCTGGACCTGCTCCGGCTTCCGCTTGGTGCGGAACTCCAACTCCATCTCCCGCTCCCGGGTCTTCTCCACCATCTCATTCACGGTTTTGCATCCTGAAAAGCTCACAAACTCACAGATATCATCCATCAACATGGAATGATACTTCGTCCTCCTCATATCCTCATCCGCAGCATACTACGGGATCAATAGTGCTCATTCCCGAAACTTGGTTGTAACGCCCGCAGATTCGGGCTAGTCAATTTAAAGACAATAAGCGTCAAAAACGACTTTTTGATAGAAGATTATTTAGAATGAATAATCTTAACGAAGTTGTAGCATATGTCACAAGGGTTCCGTACATATAAAGAACGCCGAAATCCGAGTTATAACAAAGAAGTTATAGCATGTCGAAGTTTCGCGACAAAATCGGCACGACACTGTGTGACGTAAAACGTGAGTTTACGATAGAATGCTTTTTAGCCTTAGCGATCTAAACGAAAGTCGTAGCATACATTAAACCGAGAGCGTGCATAAAAAGAATACACAAATCTGATTTCGTATGAGGAAGTTATGATTTTTCTAAGTTTCGACTTAGTAGTATGAAGCCCGGAGTTCGAATAGTAGATCGACCCATTTTTAGCCGACACAACCTAAACGAGAATCGAAGGTCTCGTTAATAGTAGGGCAACGATAAAAAGACAGACGGAAACGGACGTTGGATGAAGAAGTTATGAATTTTTAACGGACTTTTCCTGTCCCGGCCTATTAAAAATATAATAATAGAGTCACAATTAGCCAACGAAGTTTAAACAAAAGTTGTATAGTACGGTCTCACCTATGTGTGGATATAAAGAACATCAAAAACGGAGCTCGTGTGCGAAAGTTACGAATTTTAGAAGTCAAGGGTGTAAATTGCGAGTTGGGTGCAAGGGTACGCCCAGTGTACCTTCGGACGCCTCGCGTACCGAAGTACGCCCCGCATAGACCGAAGCACACGCCCAGCGTTCTTCTTCCTTCAGCGGTCCAGATCCAGCCACGTAACACCACCGAAGATCCGACGTGTGCCCCCTTACGCCCGCGTACGTCCGAAGTACGCCCAGCGTACCTACGAGGCTTCGGCCTATAAAAGGAGAGCGATGGCTGCCTTCATTCTCACACCTTTCATCATTTCTTTCTCTCTCTAATCTCTCTCTAAACCCCCCTTAAGACCCCCCAAAGCCTAGGGAACCTCCCTAGCACTAGAAGAAAGCCCCGGAGTGCCCAACGGCTCCTAGAAAAAAGTGCTTTTCGGCTCAGAAGCTCTGCCCGCGTAGAGCCCAGTTTTTTATAAAACCCGTTGTAAGTGAGATACGCCTACCCTACTTTAAATATAACTTATATTTAAATATAATAATCGTTATTATAAACCTATAAATAAGATTTATCAGTGATTCAAAGTCGTTATATTGATTGAACTACTTACGGGAGAGGTGTCTAGAATGGTCACGTTGGGTTTGGTTGTTGGATTTCAGAAAAGCTATGAAACATCCCAAAAATCATGACCAATTTTTTTTTTTAATTAAGTAACTTATAAAATTGTTTACTGAAAAACATCATCGAATCATATCATTTCATAAAACCATAGTCACATGTCTCAAAACCATATCATAAAATAGTAACAAGGTCATAGTACAATCCCAAGAATCTCATAATGCGGAAATCATGTGTGTGTGATGCGTTGCTACCGTGCCGACTCCTTCCCCTTCGAAGAAGAGGTACCTGAAAACAAAACTGAAACTGTAAGCACAAAGCTTAGTGAGTTCCCCCATCATACCTCATACCATATAACAAACATACTGTCAGATAATTCTGGGGTGCCCGACCTACCCTGCCAGGCCATTCTGGGGTGCCCGACCTACCCTGCCATGCCATTCTGGGGTGCCCGACCTACCCTTTCGGTTTATCTCAACCGGCTACGTGGACTATTTCACCCCCTACTACTACTATATAATATCATAGCATAAATATACTGCCAGGCAAGTCTGGGGTACCCGACCTACCCTTCGGTCCTTACGACCGAGACACTGGGACTATTCCCCCTACTATCACTATCACATCACATCATATCATGCTAGCACATAAAACATATAAAGCAGTAGCAAACCTAGATAATTATCACAAATACAATCATCTAATCAAACAACTCCTACTAGTGGGTCGACATTGTGGCCGTAGACCCACTTCTACTAGAAGGTAACTCACCTCAATGTCGTGCAGTAACTGAACTGTCCTCTGCGCTGGAATCGACTCCTCTCAAACTCCTACACATAACAACCTTCCTTAATTACCATTTCATACTCATAGCCCTTTCAAGGGTCAACTCAGGTCAAAGTCAAAGTCAAGGTCAACGCCCTGGTCAAAATCAACATCCTGGTTGACTCAACTCGCCGAGTTGATCCATCAACTCGTCGAGTTCCATAATTCAGAGAAACTCTCATTCGCGATCGGACTCGTTGAGTTACTCTCTAACTCGTCGAGTTTCTCCTTATGACAGAATTAGGACTTTCCACTTGAACTCGTCGAGTCCTTCCTTGGACTCGTCGAGTTCTCCTTCATACAGATCGGAACATTTTCTCATTGACTCGCCGAGTTCATCCTTGAACTCGTCGAGTCCTGCTTCATAACAGTTGGGACATTGTCTTGAACTCACCTAGTTCATCCTAGAACTCGTTGAGTTCTTGATCTTCAAGTCCATATTCACGTCCATCTTGTTGAGTCCTCTTCTAGACTCAACCCGATTGCTTAGAAACAGAAAAGGTTGAGGAACCATGACCCGACTCGTCGAGTCCCCCAAAGTCCAAGTCCAAACAGTTGATTTCAGTCGGGCTTATTGCATTCAAAGCATAGATCTGGCCTCCTAGGGTCGATATAACACGAAAAGTTACAAACTTTACGTGCATGCATGGGTGTTATGAAGCTAAAACACCAAAACTAAGCCATAAAGGAGTTCTAATGCTTGGGATAGGGCCATAGCTCAATAAAGGTGGTGACTTTGAGCTTCCTGAGCTCAAATGTTCCCAGATCTGAAGTCATCACTCTCATATTCGCTCAAATCCCGAAAGTGACTTAGAAATGTCCCAAAAATGACAAGATGCAAGCCCTAAAGAAGATCTAAGTGATGGAAAGCCAAGGTTGAATCTTTTTACCTCAAACAAACTGGAAATGCAACCAAAACTCTGGATCTACTGCCTTCTTCTTGAACCTCCAAGCCTTTCCTTCATTCTCCAAGCTTCAAATCACTAAAATGGCACAAAATAGCACAAGAACACTCACAAACTGATTAGGGTTTCGAGAATAGGGTCTGAGGGTGATGGAGGCTGGAGTGGAGGCCATATAAGGTGTTTAAATAGGGCGCAAACCCTAAAATTTAGGGTTTCATTCAGACAGATCTACTCGTCGAGTCGGGGCTTCCGACTCGTCGAGTAGACTCTTCCACCCGCGTCCAAGATTAGCCCCTACTTGACGAGTTTGGGTTCACCAACTCGTCGAGTACCAGTATAAAAATGTAAAGCTCATATTTAAAATTACGTACAGGGAACCGGGCGTTACAAGCTATATGCCGAAATGGTCCTGCCTCCCAAATGCCCTGCCTGGCTGATCCTTACTTGATAGATCATCAAGTAGACTCTGAGTTACTGATGAATCTAGACTAATAATTAGTCGCAATGAATATTAGACTAAAATCTAGTGGTAATAATACTAGGTTTCGTCAAAGGAAATTATTTTAAAAAGCGAAGCGCTGTCTGGATTCAGAATCACCACCTTATCAAGTGAGTGCATAGTTACTTTCATCTTACACATATATATGAAGTATTTTAAATAAATTACGTGCTATGTGTGCATATTATCTGTTTACTTGATATCTATGCTAGATGAACGATCTTATACATGTTTTAAATGATTTAAACTGTATATGTATTTTATATCTACAAAATATGTTGGGTAAAACATGGGTAGATGAATGATAAGGGATGAAAGTTGATATAGAGGAACATTGGCAGTTATGGACATAGTGCAATTTCGCCCATAACCTCTGATAGAATGGGGTCACCCATTGCAATTTTGAACCCAATCTCATTCTCAATTTTGATTGTCTTCTCGCTTTCATTGAGTTTCTCGAAGTCAGAGGATTCCAAACCATTTGGTTCATTATTTGAGCTCACTAAAGGGGGTTCGCTGTTTAGATCAAGTTGTGCAGAAGTTGGTGACTGGATAACCTGAGAAGAAATAACTGCTGAGTTAACATGATCGATGATGAATCCTTGCGACTGAGCTCTTCTCCTCTTACGCGAAACCGTCCTCTAAAGAACCGTTAACCGGATCAGGCAACGGGATGTCATCATTTGCAAATGTTTGATCTTCTAGTGAATTATTCAAAGAGTCATTTCTGCCATCATTATCCGGGATGATTTCCCCTTCCTCCAATCCATTTTGGTCTAATTCCAAGGATGATCTAGTATCACCCGTTATCATCAATCTTTACTGCCACATTCCCTTTATCACCTGTGGCCTCCGAATCAGACATATACGGCTACTTCTCGTCATCAAACTCGAAGGAATTTTCAAATTCGACAATGCCAATAGTTATAAACTTACCACCAATTTCTATAGAGGCTTCCTCATTTATATTTGTCCTTCGACTTGTGAGGATACCAAGTTTAACACATGAAAGATTGACTTTGTGCTTGAAATCATCAACTGGGGCAAGAATTTTTCCATTCTTGGCAATGATCTTCTCAAAATTTGGTTCACTCCAGTGTCTAATTGGAAGACCAACTATCTTAATCCATGCTATTTGTTCAAATCTTGCTTCATCTGGTTCCCCCATCGAGAGCCACATGAACATCTCTTTCCATACCGCTTCGTTCAACAGAAATTCATGAGCAGATTCAGGTCGATCAAATCTCAAGAGGATTCCCAAGCCGCCTGTGTATTTCACCTCAACCCGCTTTGTGAAATTATAAAGTCAAAGTTACGAGAGGGGTACATTTGTAAATATTTATAGTTAGAGGTAGCTATGTGTAAATAGTTAGAGTTAGATTCATCTTTGTATAAACTCAGTTGATGAGTTCTAATGGAATATGATGAACAGATTATCATCTCATATTACTTTCTCTCTCTAAATTCTTGTATCAATGTTGAAATGGTATCAGAGCTATTCCACATTTCATTCTTTCGTTGATTGATTTTGTTCGTCAATCTATTTTGTTATTCAATTGTTATCGATTGATATTGTTTCATCAATTGATTCGATTTTACATTTTTCCGCATTCATTTCAAATTCATATCAATTGATATTGTTCATCAACTGATTTTGCGTTTCTTCATTGATTTTGTTGATTGCGTGATTGTTCACCAATCAATCCTTGTTCTTCGGCAAATATGAGTTCAGATCGTGTTATTGATCCAAATACTTTTTCGTCTTCGAACAACAATTCTGTCAATAATGTCAAAAATAACAATCCGAGTATGTTTCTTGTTTCAACTCATCTTACTGGAAACGAGAATTACATGCAATGAAAATACTCAATTCGAATTGGTTTGGGAGCCAAAAAGAAGATCGGTTTTATTGATGGAACTACAGAGAAACCTGAAATCGCAGGAAATGAACTTAATGATTGGATTAGCAATGACTGCATGGTTCGTTCTTGGATACTTAATGCAATATCTAAAGAAATTGTAAGTGCATTCGTTTTCTCTGTTACTGCTAGAGAATTGTGGCTTGATCCTGAAGAACACTTCGGTGAAAGCAATGGACCTTTGATATATCAATAGCAAAGACAGATTGCTTCAATCAATCAAGGTGATTCTTCTTTGTCCAAATATTACACAAAATTAAAACAGTTATGGGATCAATTGAATTGTTTAGCTGTTATACCTCGATGCACTTGTGAATCTGCAAAAGCCATTGCAGATAATACTTCGTCAACTCGTTTAATGCAATTTTTTATGGGACTTAATGATACATTTGAGAATTTAAGAAACCAAATTCTTGTATTAGATCCTTTGCCTTCTGTTCACAAGGCATACTCAATGGCATTAAGTGTTGAAAAGCAAAAAGAAGTCCAAATTAAATTTTCAATTCCCACAGAAGTTTCTGCTATGCTTGCAAAATCATCCAATGAGAAGAAAATTTTCTCACAAAAACCTAAATTTGATTACAAAGGGAAAATTGGTGATAGATATTGTAATCATTGTAAAGTGAATGGACACACTAGAGAAGCTTGTTTCAAACTAAATGGTTATCCAGATTGGTACTAGGAACTTAAAGAGAATAAGAAAGGAAACTTTAACACTGCAAATATGGTTCATTGGTGGTTGTCGAGGCCAACAAAAATAAATAACCCTAAATCTTTTACACTAAAATAGTGTATAGTGGTAAAGGGGTCGATCCACGGAGATTGGTTCAATTTATAACTCTATGGAAAATCTTTTTGCAACAGTACTTCTAAAATGACAATAAAATAAAAATGGGGGTTTTGATATTTTGAAATACTTGAAACAAACTAGAATTAACTAAGATTTAAATAGACAATTTCAACAAAAATAAGAGTTTGATGTAAAATCAATAAGAGAAGGATGGTTGACTTAAAGTTTCCTCACTTTGACTTTTGATGAACATATCATTAGAATCAAATGGTGCAATACTTGTTTTAAATCCTTAATTTGGCTATAGTAATCCAAGAAGCTTGAGATTACCTAGACTTTTCTTAGTTGTTAAAATGGTTAGAGAAGCTCATAACAATTTCCTTAGTCAAAGTCACAATTTCCATTAAGCATGTAATTAGTGAAAGTCAACTAGCATTAAGAACCAAAAAGTCACCAAATCCAAGAGGGGTCAAATGCTTTCACCACCATGTTGGAGAAAATGTTTTTATGATTGTGTGAAGTAAAACTAACACAAGAATCACTTGTTGCTTGCTAATTTGAAGATCCTTTACTTAATCAAGAAATTAGCCAACTAATCACCACAAACACATTTAAACTCATGAATAAAAACATGCAAGTAATGATAAGATGTTAAAACACAAAACATTTTCATAAAGATTCAAACACAAATTCATGGATTCTTCAATATTCAACAAAAGTTCAAAGGATTCAACAAAAGTCAACCAAGATTAGTTTAGCCAAGCATGACTAAACTCAAGGAAACAAAGTTAGTTAAGATTGTACCAAACATTTAGCAAGAATTAAGAGATGAAATGGTGAAGTTCTTGAGGGTTCTTGGCCTTCAAAAATGCTTCAAACTCCAGAGAGAAAGTATCAAAATCGGACCTCCAAGATAAGGCTGAAGAGGCACACCAACCTTCCCAATATAGAGCTCTAAGTAAAATCCCGAAATTGCCCTTGTCAGGAATCCACACGGGCCGCGGGGAATCTTACGCGGGCCGCGTGACTTCGACGGAAATTTTTGGGCTTCTTCAAGTCTTGGCCCCCCACAGCTAATCCATTGGCCCAGTTCGAATCCAATCTGCTTCTAGCCCATTTCTCTTCAATATTTCTTCAATTTGAGCCCAATTTGTCTCTCCACATCACTCAAAACTTCCGCAAATTCCTAAACATCGATCTTGCACACTCAAGAATTCTCCCGTGGCTTTCAAATTTAAAGTTTAATTCTTCCAACCCTTCAAATAATTGATAATCCCACTCCATGCATCACCTCTATAGCCATCAAGCCTAAAATCCTCGTTGTCCTCCAAGTCCAATTGCTTTCCAAAAGATCCCGCTCCGCTAGTCTCCTTAAAATCTGTAATTAAGCTCACAAAACTCGAAAGAACCCGAAAGTGGTCATAAAATAACAAAAAGGAAAATATGCATGGAAATTATCTAAATTGTGAATGAAATATGCTAAAATAAACTATAAAAAGAAGTAAATAAAATGAAGCTATCATTCATGCTAGTCAAGTTGATAACAATCCATTGTATAATGATCAAGAATCTACTTCTTCCAGTGATTCTATGAATATTCTCTTTCAACAAATTAGTCAATTCTTGAAGGCTAATCAGAAAGCTGATCCACAATCTGTCAACTTCTCACACTTTGGAGACTTTAAAGGTATTGAATTATCACTATTGAATTCTATAAATAGTGGTAAATTTGATGATTATATTTGGATTTTAGACACTAGAGCAACTTCTCACATGTGTTCTAACATATCTAGCATGAAGAAACTCACTAAAATTCAAAAATATACACCCATATTTTTATCAGATGGTTCTATAAAATCTGTTAGTCATACAGGTTTAATAGAATTAACTCCTAGAATGGTGCTTCAGAATGTTCAACATGTACCAGATTTTAAATGTAATCCGTTATCAGTTAAGAGTTTGGCAAAAACAACACAAATTGCCTTCCACTATTATCCCACACATTGCCTTTTGCAGGACCTGGCAACTAAAAAGATTGAGGCTCAAGGGAAGATTTTAGGAAATCTATATGTTCTTGATAATGACAGTTTGTATCTTCAATCGTCATTTGTAGACATTCAATCTTGTAATTCCGTAAGACAATTGAATAAGGATTCTTTTTCAATTTGGCACCAAAGATTGGGGCATTCATCTGTATTTGTAATGGAACATTTGAGTTTTATTCCATCAAAGTTAGAAAATGAGTTGAATCCATGTATTCCATGTCATGAAGCCAAACAACAAAGATTTCTATTTCCAAATAGTGATTCTTATGCTGATGAAACATTCAAATTGATTCATGTGGATTTATGGGGTCCATATAAATCGAAAACAATCACAGGAGCATCGTTTTTCTTAACTATTGTTGATGATAATTCAAGGGCAATATGGACATTTCTCCTTAATGACAAGACTCAAGTTTTGCAAACCTTGTCGAATTTCTTTGCATATGTTTCTAATCAGTTCAAGACTACTTTTAGAACTATAAGAACAGATAATGGAGCAGAATTTATTAATTCCAATTGTCAAAAGCTCTTTTCGTCTATGGGGATTATTCATAAGAAAACTGTCCCACTCACCACATCAAAATGGTAGAGTAGAGAGAAAACATCAACAATTGCTACAAGTTGCAAGGGCATTTATGTCTCATTCTGGATAACCAATTATGTTTTGGGGACATGTTATATTAATGGCAACTTATGTCATTAATATTTTACCCATAAAAATTTTAAAATGGGAAACTCCTTACAAGAAGCTTTATGATAAAGATCCTTCTTATTCAAACTTGAAGATTTTTGGATGCTTATGCTTTGCAACAAACACAGTCCCTCATAAAACAAAATTTGATTCAAGAGCCATTCAATGTTGTTTTCTTTGTTTTAATCAAGGAAAAAAACATACAAGTTGTATGACTTAAAGGAGAAGAAAATCATAATGTCAAGGGATGTGTTATTCTATGAAGAAATATTTGTAACGACCCAAAAATCAAGGGTAAAAATTTCATTTTTAATATGGCTAGAACATTGATACCATTTATTTCAAACATTCCAAATCGTCATTAAGTAATATAATTATCAGAGTTCGTCCCAAAACCATTCATTGCGAAAATCATAGGTGTGTGCACTGCGATCAGTCCGAGCCCTTCATTTCCAAATCGATGCAACCTGAAACCAAAACTGTAAACCGTAAGCACAAAGCTTAGTGAGTCCCCCAGAGCATACCCAACCCACAATCCATATAACACATATCGTATTAGCTGTAAAAAGCTATCTCTACCGTTATCACATATCAATCAGCTATCAAAGATACTCTACCACGTATCACATATCAAATAGCTATAAAAGCTCTCTCTACCATTAGCACATATCAATTAGCAATAAAAGCTACTGCTGCCACATATCACATATCAAATAACTATAAAAGCTATCTCTACCATTG